TTACCCTTGCCAGGCTGTAAATCTTAGAAGTTGTTTGGAGTGCGTGGTCAGGAGATAGGGTAGTTGAGGATAGAATAAGACTGTCTGGGGATTCCTGGGCTCCTGTGATAAACAAGGGAGCATTCAGTGACCTAAGATGCACAGAGGAAGTCTCTGGAGCATGAATGCAGTTGGTCGTGGGTGGCTGGCCACTGCAGGCTGAAAGACACAAAAGGGAACAGGCCACTGGGAATAGTCTGGGACTGAAAGACCACAGAAAGGAGAGGATTCTTCTGCAAAGCTCTGCTGCAGGGGGAACAGCTGCCTGCCTCTTGAGGAGAGTCCCAAGAGAGTCCTAATGGAGAAAAAAATAAGAAATTTATGGAATTTGGTAAGCTGTAGCTGCAGCCAGCTGTAGAGATGGGAACAGGTGGAACCAGACACTTCTCCTGGCTTCTCTTGTGGATAGCAAGAGATAGCAAGAGATAGCATAGACTAGAATATTTTCCAGAAGGGAAAGTCCTCCTTTCTCCAAGGAAAAATGAGTCTCGTACCATTTCCTGCAGCCCTAGTAAATGTGTGTAATAGCCTGAAATATGGATCCCATTTGGGAATCTGACCAGGGAAAGAAAACTGAGATAACAACTGTACGTTTTGAGTCATCTCTACACTTTTGTTTAATTCCGTTTCAAAGGATGTATTTAATATGAACAGAGAGCAGAACAAAAACAACTACATCAGCTTGATGACAAGTCCTCCTGGGACAGCAGTGCAATGACCCAACCAAACATAATTTAAGTGTAATTCTACAGCCAAAGCCTATGGAGAATTCACAGAGCTTCAGATCTAAAGATGGCTTAAGCCATCCAACCAGGCATGAAGTTGATACCAAGCAGCAGAGCTTTATGTTCTGGTAACAAAGGCTCCAGATGACACTGGATGTGTATAAATGAGGGCAGGATTTAGTCTACAGAGTTACGGGCAAAGCATGATGACCAGAAGAGGACTTTCAAAGAAGTGTGTTGAGTAGGAGTCGTGAAGTTACGTTAAGATCTTTTTCTTGATATAAAGAACTCTCTGATACTTTCATGTCACTCATTTGATCCCCGCTGGGGATACAAACTCTGCAATGTCTGAGACTTTTTCCACAACTTTGTTTTGCTTCCTTTACAAAAAGAAACAACCGTTGTGAGGATTGCTAAAAAAAAGCCAACATTCCCCAAAGCACTGCTTTATTTATCTTCATGTGATCAGTCAGTTCATGTCCAGATCATACCATGTAATAAATAACTCAAAATCCTAAGATGTTAGTCCTCAAATTATAGGAGCAAGGGAAACTTTTTGTAGGGTAAGAGTGTAAAAAATTGCTCCTCATGAAAGGAGAAAGGGAAAATGGTAAAACCACTTCCATTGACCCAACTGATCAAATAGTTTAAGGGATTACCAAGGTACATTTCAACCCTGAAACAGAAGTAAACATACTATTTTTAACAATTTTTAGAGAACAGAAAAGTAATACTGTGGTGACCTCTCAATTACTAAATGAGACAAGACAATAGTGTGGGAACCGAAGGTGCCAGAACGTTGCACTGCTGATGCTTATGAAATCACAGCCCAATCTGGCCAACTGAAGAGTCAAAACTCTCTCAGGCATGGGTGACAATTAAGCTTATTGCAAAGGCTTACTACAGAATATCATCATCAATTGCAATAACAATGATAATCATTTGAAGAGCACCTTGATGTGCCTGAGGTGCCTCTCAGGATAGATGAAAGAGCAGTTATTCTCAGGCAGCACTGATAAACTTTAAGGTGTCATAATGTGTAAACAAGTTGTTTTCCCAGGTTGAAAGCAGAGGGGAAGGATGAAAGCAGGCAGGAATAGTAGCAGTTTGTAGTAGCAGTAGATGACAGAGTTTCTGGTGGTAAGGAGAAAAAATTGCTTTTAGGGAAAAAAGAATCCATCATCTTTTAGTTGGTTGGGGAGGCACTTTGGGAAGGGAATGGAGATCAGACTCACAGAACAGCTGAGGCTGGAAGATTGTCTAGTCCAATCTCTCTGCTCAAAGCAGAGTCACCTAGAGCAGGTTGTTCAAGGCAACATCCAGTTGGGTTTCAGATATCTCCAAGTGTGGAGACTCCACATCCTCTCTGGGCAACCTGTTCCAGTATTTGACTACCCTCACCACAGAAAAGTGTTTCCTGATGTTCAGAGGGACCCTCCTGTCTTTCAGTTTGTGCCCATTGCCTCCTGTCCTGTCACTGGGCACCAAACCAAGAGTTTGCCTTTGTCTTCTTTGCACCTTTCAATCAGAGATCCCTTTTGGAGAGTAAAATGGGAGCTGCAGGAATAAAAAGCAGCAGGGGAGATAGTCTGTGGGAAACACAGACAAACAGGACAGTGACAGAGTGACAGAAGTGCATACCAACATGGGCCCATCCAATACTGTTGACTTGAATGCACTTCAAGTCACATCTTTGGATGCAAGACTGCACTTGTCAGGGAAAACACGTGTGTACATCAGTGAAGTACAAGACATAACAACAACAAGTAGGGAGCATTTCCTAGAAAGATTGGATTTTTTCACAGAAAAAACACACCATGAAGCAGTTATGTTATATGGGAACTATGGGTTGGGGAGCTTCCCAGAAAGCCAGCTGCCCCTGTTCCTAATTATTTATTATTCATCTCTGTTTCAGTCCAAAATGAGGTCTGATTTATGGGAAATGACTTAGAAAATGAAACATGGAAATATGGGATGGATGATGATTAATGGGAGCTGTGATACGTGCCTGCAAAAATGCAATGGGCATAAACATCCAGGAGAGGAAGGTTGACATGGGGTGACACTAAAGGGTTTTCAAATGAGTAAATGAATAAAGACAATATATTTAATGATGGAGACACCATCAGCTCATGGAGTAAGATTTGAAGAGAAGGTTAGGTGACATGGTGGAAAACATGCTGTTCCTCATGCCTGCCCTGAAAAGTCCACTACAGGAAAGCCTTTGGTGTTGGATCTTTGTGAAGGCTCAAGTTAGATTTATGTACTGCAACTTTATGCTTCATTTTGCAGGTATGATGGGTACTTAATCATAACTATTTTTTGTTTCCTTGTGAAGATGCTGATACAAAGCAACAAAGTTCTGGTTTTTCAATACAAAGAGCACAAAGAATTTGAGAAAATATATTTGATTAGTGGATTTTTAAAAATATCGCTTGATAAAATAAATGACTTCTGGATGGAAAACCACAAATGCCATCATGCTCAGTATCAGAAGTATCAGAAGGCTCTTCCAGCCTGAAGGCACAGTAATTTTTAATGCATTAATGCTCAAAAAAGGACAGGGTTATCTTTGGATCCATTAAGAGTCTGCACAAACCACCTAAATAAACATGCCATGTGATTGGACAGTGAAGCAGCAATGATCAAGTTGTCAGGAATGATTTCAATATAGTTCACGCTTCCCTGAGGCAAGGGACTGAACTAAACAACTTCCTGAGGTCCCTGACTCCCTGAAACCATAAGCTCTATGGCTTGAAGATGAAAATGACCACTGCAGTATAAAGACTTTCACTGTCTACTCCTCTGGGAGTGGTAGGTCATCTCCAGAACTGCCCCATCACATTTAATTCTTCTAAGCTTTAAGTTCTCATGGGCTTGGATATTTTCAAAGTATATTTTCATTCCATTATGCCTCATGCTGCAACTAACTACAGAACAAGCAACAAGAGTATAATTTTCATCTCACGACATTTTCATTTCATGCTGATGACAGGACACGCACAAACTCTCTGCCACTCCAGCAGATTCTGCTCCTCACCTGGTGGGAGATGAGATGCTACTAGAGAGGAGAAGGCAGGCTGTTTGAGTGCGTGAAATGGTCTGTAAGAGCCTGTGGCTGTCCTAGATCCTCCCACGCCAACTTCACTGGGGGCTCTGAATTGCAGATTAAGGGCAGTGAATGGCCTAGAGTATCTATCAAGAGTGATGTCAGTTAATTACTACCCCGGGGATTCAGCAATGAGTTGGTGCACTGTGAGTTAATGACTTCCAGGCATGTTACTTGGCAATACTACCATTATTATTTTGCAAGGAGACTTCAGTGTCTCTTCATGAAGCCAGCCAACCAGAATGTTGTTGATCTCCTGTTTGCTTGCCTGTTGCACAAGATACTGGTGAAACTCTCACTACCTATTTGTTGACCTTTCTTTCTCTTCATTCTCTCTCTACCAGCATACATAGATATGTCATTGTCTCCAAAGGAGACTTCACTCTTTAGCAAACAACATCAAGAAAAAGGCCACATCCCTTTCCAAATTAAAATTGAGCCTTCTAAAGATGGATGTTGACAAGACATTGTTGAATTCAGACACAGCTTTGAGATTTCTCAGAGGGTTTGAGGATTTCCATTGTCAGACATGGCTATTGTGCTACGAAAATGACTCCCAGCTGAAAGAGTGAGAAAACATTTTAAAGGACAGCTCAACAGTATTTAAAAAAGCTGGATACCCTGGCACCCTGGGGGAAAAGCTGCTAACAAAGTTAGTGAGATGGGGTGGGACAACATTTGAGTGTCACAATAATTTCATTGCATAATCTTTGTCCTGCTTACCCCCAGCTCTCACCAAAGACAATGGAAGCATGGGGTTTTCAGTTCCTTGCAGGAGACAGTCAGAGTCTTGCATCATCAAGTCCTTTTTATTTTTTCTACAAGATTATAAAAGACAGAAATGCATTCTTGACTGCAAACTAACATTCAAAGTCTCACGAGAATAGATGCCGCTCCCTTGGCCATAAAACTTTGGAGAGGACCCAAGATGACCATGATGAATCTCATGGAGAAGCAAGCCCAAATAAACACAGTTTGAATGAATAGAGAATGCAGTCATCCCATCAACAGATGAGCTTGGTTAGTCCTTGTCTCTGCAGCCCCTCTATGGTACTGTGTTACTGCTCAGACTGTGTCATATACAGCTTGCTAATGAAGCTGCCACGCTGGGCCTTCAAGCCCCTTACCATTTTACAGATGGACTTGGCCTCCTCAGAAAACTTATGGGAGTACACCTCTTCTGTCTCCAGTACTCTTCTGTCCACTTCTTCTCTCTTCACCTTTTCTTTCCTTCCACGAAATGGTGATTGCCCAGCAATCATTTCATAAATGAGACAGCCTAGCCCCCAGTAGTCAGGGCTGAGTGTGTATCTCTGGTTGTTCAACACTTCTGGAGCTGTGGAGGAGAAAGATGTGTCTTGTGGACGTGCATGATATTTACATAGGCAAAGAACTTAAATTTCTAGAAGTTCCATTTCGGTGACTGAATATACACAGACAGAGAATGGTGGGTAAAATATAAAAATACCTCCTGGTTTCTGCTGATGGCATTACAGAAAATGCAGCATGCTACATGCCATTTTTTTTCTCTACACGCTACATGCCATGTGCATGCTGTCTTCTGACTTCTCTACCAAGTCAGAGCAACTGAAAAAACAAAAAGAATTTGAAGCTAAGTATTAAGCAAAGGTCTAATCTTAAGAGTCCTTCCAGATTTCTCCATGACATACAGACACACATCCTGTAAAAAGCAGTGATATTTCTCCAAAACCAAATTCTGTCGTTTTGATTGATCAACTTATAACCTATTTTTTCCCTCTTTAAAAAACAAATCCATGTATATTGCGTTGCAGCCATCCAGTGTGCTTTGGACACATAGTCAGTCTTCCTGCAAGCATCCTCACTTCCGTGCGTGGGTACAAACACACAAACACATGTGCTCATAAGCACAGAGCCTTCATGTGTGCACAACCTACACTGAGATAACCAAATTTAGAACTGACAACTGATTTGCTTGCTTTCCTTAAAGCCTCCATATGGTGTAACAGTGGCTCATATCAGCTAGTTCCTATTTAGTCAAATAAGCATAAGCAATTTTTATTCCAAGAAATATGCCCATTTAGAGAATGCATGAAAATAATTACATTGAATTTAGAAAACAGATCTAGTTAAATCAGGGATTATGGTTTTCACCAATGTACAAAAGTCTACTCTTCTTTTGTGCCGCCTCCCCTGCACATAGGGGAAGACTCAAGATGACCATAGATGTGGACTTACCCATTTTATCATAAACATACAAATACATTTTAACTATTAATACAAAGGAGAAACTAGAAGGAAACCTTTCTTTTAGCAAATAACCCTCCTAAAATACATCTACACTAAAATCACTAGAATCCCAGTTGTTGTCCCCCCTTTTAATTTTCTTTGCTGATTTAAGATTGTAGACCAGTCTCATTAAGAGCTGTTGTGGTCCATCTTTTCGCCCACTTCTGACTTCCACTAGCGTGACTTCTTGGTGACTTGCTGCAGGGAATTGGACCCAGCTGAATGTGAATCTTTAAAAATTCTTTATCTTTAGCTTATATGGCAGAAAGATCTCCAGAACTCAAGTAATCTCAGCAAATTATAAAAAAGATGAGCTACTGAAGACTTACCCATATACCCTACTGTTCCCACTCTTCCACGGATTGATTCACCCTCAGGGATTTTAACAGCTAGACCCAAATCAGATATTCTAATATGGCCTGGAAGGAAAAAAGAAACAAAACAACATAAAGCAGATATAATAACATGACCCAAATTAGTTCAAAACCACAACTGTCGTCATTGCTACAATGCTCTTGCAATTTACTGTTTGGACATTTTAAGAAAAGTGTGTTCTGAATGGCTGAATGAAGCAGTTTCATTGATAAGGAAAAGAGGAATTATTAAGGACATTACGATGCAATGAAATTAATTTTAACAGTGAGGCTACGGACTAGAGTGGATTGTGTTAGATATTTTAAAATTGTGCAAAAAGAAGGCAATGAGAAGCATGCTGTAGGGAAGTTATCTTGGACTGGTCACAGGGGATGGATGGACTGACATTATTCTGTGACTCTCTGACAGCTGAAGGGGCTACATCTGGTCTGTAAGTCAGCATGAGATTTGATTATCACTGCCTTCAGCAACAAACGGGTACCTGGGTTTGCATAAAACCAAGAGTCTGCTCAGCAAAGGATGAAAGTACTTTTGCAAATGGAGCGGGAAGCACAGATTTAGAAATCCCAGCTTCCTTTCTGTTGTGTCAGCCTTACAACAATAAGGATGGAGAAACAATGAGAAAAGGCAGACACCCCCAGCACAGCCGTGCTCTGGAGAACAGACCCTGCTGAGCAGCATGGCTGCTTCATTCCACCCGTGTGGTGAGCTCCAGCACTTCACCCACCCCAAGACAGGAGAATTAGTGTACGCTAAGCCTCTTAAGTCATTTCAGAGCATTATTTGTCTTTGTGCAATATATATTCTAAAACTAACTTAATCTACTTTACTGTGAAAGCATCTGTAAACCTCTGAGACTTACCATAATCATCTAGCAGGATATTTTCTGGCTTCAAATCTCTGAAAATGAAAGAGAGCAGTTATTTGTATGAAGCTGGTTTTGATAGCATAAGCATACGGCAGCGTGTGAATGCATTTATTACTAGTAATAAACCAATTGAGTGTCAACTCAAACAGCAAGGAACTCATGAAACCAGTACAACTTTACACAACTCACTTCACAGATAGACTGAAACCATATGTCTTTTCTAAACTGGAGTTACATTTTTTCACTAAGCCAAGCTTTTAGTTCCCAATCCACTCCATAATGGACTCATCCATCTAGTTCTGTAAGCCCTGTAAACCAACCCCTATAGTCCTGTGTGTTGTTAAATCTCTGTAACATTTTCTGTTATAAAATCTTTTGATAAAAAGAAGAATATTTTAAATTTTAAAATATTTTATTTGTATATGAAAATGGAAATAGTGATCTGCTGGGCTCAAATTTTCTATGCCTGGCATCTGACTCAGACTAAATATGTAAATGTGTGTACATGCACTTGTGTATTCATGTAATAATTGCAGTGAGTTTGGAAAATGAGTGGCAAAGGGGGTTAATGCTGTGTCCAGATTAAAAATCTCATTACAAATATTTGTGAAACTCTAGTGCCTATGTGGTTGGGAGCAATGCCATGAAAATTGGCAAGGTGGTCACTCTGATGTCAAAGATGTGCCTTTTACTGCTCCTGTGGAAAAAAAAACAAACAAAAAAATCCCAAATTTGGCCAAGTTATAAACTACTGAAAAAAAAAATTTCTCAGTTTTCATATATTTAGCAGAGCCTTGGCAGGTCATTCTTCTGAAATCTGCACCAAACTCACTCCACCAGTTGCCGCTTCTAGATGGTGCCCAGACCAGCCATGCTCAAGTCCCCTCGCTCGACCATGGCTGTTTCCCAAACCTGCAGTGTTGTAGCACTTCTCTGCAGCCGCCGCTGCTGTTCCTGGATGTGGTGGGCAGCTGCCAAGGCAGGAGCCAGGTGGGCTCCATCCCATCCTACCCATGAGCTGAGCAGGGACAGGCACAGCCTGCTGCTAGCACAGAGCGGGGATGAAGCCAGCCTGGGAGACTGGGACCTGGAGGTCTTGGAGGGAAGATGGTGTCCCTGCTGATGGCAGGGGGGTTGGAACTCGATGATCTTTAAGGTCCCTTCCAACCCAAACCATTCTATGATTCTATGACATACCGGGCAAGGAGCATCCCAGATGGGCTGTGTGATGGGAGCAGGCTGTGCTGGCTCAGGAGCCCGAATAAGGCACCAGCGTGGCCATGTGAGGCAGGGAACATGCATTGCTGCAATTCACATCATGCCTTGACTTTTATCTGATCGACTCCGACTGAAACACAGTGTTTAGCCTGGTGCAAATCCAAGAAGTGCTTGGCCTCATCTTTTTTTTTAAGGTCTCCTTGCATTTGTGAAGCAGCTTGATTCTGTTAGCTTCCCAGCAAGACGTGTTTCTGTTCAAAGAGCAAAGAGAGGGGGACGTACAAGAGAAACCCTCGCACCAGGAGATGAGTGCACAGCACAGTCTGTGCAGGAGCCCGCCCTGCGTTTCAAGCTGTACTGCCTCACTGTCGAGAATTTTTCTGTGAATATAGAGGGGTATTTTACAGTTTTGACAATGCTGAGATTAAGATTTCAGAACTCATCTCATTTTTATTTACTGTTTGAAGCAACAACGTAGAGCGTGTGAAATATCTCCTCTTCTTGCTTGCTTCATACCCTCTTGACCTCTCAAAACAAACTTCACCGAGTGCCCAGTGGTACCAAGCCACTTTTCAAATAAACAATACTGAAACATGTGAGGGGGAGCTGAATGCTGAGGAGAAGCTGTGATTTTGTTTAACATACCACTGTGGGCTTTCCCTGCCTATCAGCAAAAGGTTTCCAATGCTGGAGCAACACGGTTGAGGGCATTTCCTATTTATTTTAAAATATTTATTCCAAATCCCTTAAGAACTATTTTGCTTAAGAACTCAGACTTCATTAGTTACTTCATCTTCCGCTCCAGCAGTTAGTAGTCCCACTTCAAGCTGCCAAATGACAAGAATCTTGCATGCAAGTTGGGAAATGTTGTCTTTGAATGAGAAAATGAGAGAGGACACTGAGAACAGCAGCTCAGTCCTTACAGCCCTCTGTGATTTAGGGCAATTAGGGCAGTTTTTCCTTCCCTCCAGACATCAGCTGTCATTTCTGTTTTCAGATTTCTGGTTCCTCAGGATCATGGCTTTTGCATGGCCAACACTTCCAAGTGCCAAGCAGGA